AATTTGAGAAAAAACAGCAAAGGGTGAGCTGCAACTTGCTACACCAACAAGCACAGCAAAGCTTTTTACTGAGCTCATCCACCAGGCAGCAACAAATTAGTTTTCGTATTTCGTAAATGCTGACTCTAAGGCTCAACACTATTATGGGCTCCCTTGTCCCACAGGTTCACGGTGGAGGCTTCTACTATCAAGGCAATAGGACTTAAATATAAAAGTTAATTTTAAGGCCTTTGAGTTTAAAGTCCAGTAATGCTGGAAAAAAAAATGGATACTTGAAACAACACAAGAAAATTTACACCTTTTAACTGAGGTTCCTAGGAAATGACTTCATGAAATAAGATGGGGAAGAAATAAATAATGTCAAGAACCATCACCTCTAATACTATTGCTCTCTCTCAAAATATATTTTCTAAACTATCCAAGTTCAGTAAAGAAAATGTAACCCAAATTAGGAAATAGGGCTTACATAATTCCACAAAGTCATTAAATGGCTCATTTACAGAGAATATACTCGGAAAAGATCAGAATTTCTGACAAAGGAATCCCGAGCAGGAACCCCACTGCCGGAGTCTTTTTAAGTCTATTTTGACCTTGATTATGTTTTCCCTTCCAATAGCACAATGCAAACCCATCCGTGCTATGCTACGTTTCTATGGCCACTTGGCCAGCTGGAGCTTTCTTTCCTTTACCTTTCAGCTGCATTTCTAACCTGGCGTGGCACTAGCTGCACTTACTGTGAGCAGTGACAGTTTCGGTTCCAACTCCGTCCACCTCTAACTACGCCAGGGCATTCCCCAAGCACAACTGTGTTTCTGTGCAAGGGCTTGGTGCTGTGGCCTAGCTACAAGCTCTCCAGGAGCCTGTGAACCTCAGTCTGACTATACAGGTGCTGCTGACAGGGTACTCCAGCAGCAAACTGGTTGCACAAGGTCCAGATAAGCTGCTCCGCCCAACTCATGACGATAAAATAACTAAACAATAATTAATAAATGAATGAAATGGACAATCAGAAGCCACAGCAAATTTGCACGTGAGGTACTAACTACAGCTGTGGGTTATAGAGACCGAGAAAAATAAAATAAATAAGTTAACATACAGACTTTGAATCTGCAGATTGCGTTGCAGCGAAGCGTCCGCGAGACGCTTGGGGCCAGTCCGACTGTAACTACTCATTTTCCAGCTATTAAAAGATAGGTATTTATGGAATAAAACCCAGTCTGCCAAAGTTGTACCTAAACCAGATCCTGAATTGTTTTACTGAACTAGAGAGATATCTAGCACTTTAATATTAGTTTGGCCTGAAATGTCATTTGACACCACAATATCAAACTTGGTAAGCATTTGGCTAATTTAAATTACAGCAAAATTTAATAAAGTTGATCATTGTTAATAAAATAACAAGTTATCCTCAATAAAAATGACTAAAAATTACTGAAAGTATTTTCCTTGGAAAAAAACCTATAGCTCACTTGTAGGCTAAAATATTAATCATATTCAGAAACTAAACTTCTTTCAGAAACAATTTATCCATTTTCATGGAAGAGAAAATAGATTTTTGTGAATTAAATTTATCATTTGAGCTTAAGAAGATAAAATTACTTTGGAAAAAACAGAGAATGACTTGATATGAGTTTTAAATCTATCATTTTGTTTGACTAAAATTGATTTTGATACTGCTTTTTCTTTTCTTGAAACTCATGAGCAGAATCTTCTTAAGTCATTACATGAAGGAGAACAAGCCGTCTATTGCAAAATTCTGCAATTTCATCATGAACTATACTCTGTACTTGCCCTGTAGAAGAAGAAGGTAACTATGGGTATATTGATAAAATATATATATGGGTATATTGATAAAAGCAACCAATCTGCTTGCTCTCTTGAAATTTTGTCAAACTGGAAACCAATAGCAACTATTTATATATATATATAGATAGATAGATAGATAGATATATATATATATATATATATGTTTTTTAACTTACTTTTACTTTACCCCTCTGAATGTGGCCCTTGGAAGGGGGCGCCTCAGAAGATACCCCAGGGATTAAGAGGGGAGTAAGAAAAGCAGGGACGTGAAGTGGGTTCTTGGTGGCGCCCCAAAGGGCTCGGCGTGAGGAGGAGCATGGCGGCTGCGGACAAGGACAAACGTGAAAGGCCGGTACTGAACCCGGCCGAGCGCAGTCGCTCTTATGATACATTGATTCCGATGGCTCTACTTCAGGAAAAAAATAAAAATAAACTCCAGGTGAAGTGAATACGGTAGGGGAATTTACACCTGCACCCCACTTCCCCAGATAACTGGAAATGATCCAAGGATAGCAGTCTGCCGTTAGTAACAAGATTAGGAGGAACAACCTGGAATCTGAAGAAAGCTCAAACAGTAGCTGACACCTGAATACCAGTCTTAACAGACTATGCAAGCATAACCGTCCAAACATGATATTCCTAAAGGTTAAAGCATTCAGACAAAAGTGGGCAAGTACCATTTTAGGTATGTGCTTAAGGAGGAGTCAGTGTTTCATAAGGGAGGTCGATATTTCTGCATGTTAGAGTACAATGTAAAGGCAGCATGTAATGCCAACACTAGAAAACACTACTCAAAGAGAAATCATTTTTCATGGTCACTTAGTGTTTGAGATATCATCAGGCGTGCGGATGCCTACACAATAGTTCTTGAAAGAGACCGTAGACCATGAAGGAACATTCTGGTTGATCAAAACTCCCAAACGATATGATTTAGAGATTAAATATAAGCCTGTGAGAAGAAAGTACATAGACACCTTTCCTTGGGCAATTTCGGAGGCAGACAAGATGCAGAAGAGGAGAGAGGTGATGCAGAAGAGGAGAGAGACTTAAAAGTACAAACGCATATGAATTAAAATTACAGAATCATTAAGGTCAGAAGCGACCTCTAGAGATCACCTAGTCCAACCGTCCTGCACAGGCAGGGTCACCTAGAGCACGTGGCACAGGATTGCGTCCAAGCAGGTTTTGAAGGTCTCCAGAGAAAGAGATTCCACAACGTCCCTTGGCAACCTGTTCCAGGGCTCTGTCACCCTCACTGTCAAGAAATTTGTTCTTACGTTCCTGTGGAACTTTTGGTGCTTCAGTTTGTGGCCGTTTCCTCTTATCCTATCACTGGCCACCACTGAAAAGAGTCTGGCCCCATCCTCCTCCCACAAAGCTGATCCCCTCTCAGCCTTCTCTTCTTCAGGCTGAACAGGCCCAGCTCCCTCAGCCTCTCCTCACAGGGCAGATGTTCCCGGCCTCAGATCATCCTTGTAGCCCTGCGCTGGACTCTCTCCAGCAGCTCCACATCCCTCTTGTACTGGGGAGCCCAGAACTGGACACAGTACTCCAGATGTGACCTCACCAGGGCTGAGTGGAGCGGGAGGATCACCTCTGTCGATTCATAGCCTTGGCTGCCTGCAGCTGACATGTCAACTTTATTTTTTTAGAAATAATTTGAGAAATGGCAAGGCAGTACAACTGAAATGCAATAAGCCTATTGAAAGGATCAATAACAATTTAACTGACTGGGGCCGGAAACAAGTTTCCTCATCAGCCTGGTGCTTTAGAGTGAAAGAGTTGATGGCAAAGACTATATTAATGTTCAAAGTGTTCAAGAGAGGGAAAGCAAAGGGTATTTTTCAACCCAGTTACTGTTTGTAATATATCTAGTAACAGCAGAGGGCATCAGTTAGCAAGGAATGGCTTTTTAAGATCCTCGTTTACAATGCAGATGGTGACCTGAATATGGTGACAGATGTGGACTTAGTAAATCTGTAGTTTCTGTTTATTGATTGAGAGACCTACTCAACTATAGTATGGTGTGATGGAAGTCTGTATTAAGCTTGAAAGCACACAGGGTACTGGGAAGGACCTTGCCCAGCACCTGTGAGCTAGTATTCTGGGTGAATACATTTGAATTAAAGATACCTTAAAAAAATTCAATTGATTTCCTAGTATAGGAAAAGAAGCAATATAATGGACGGCTATCTTACTTCCACAGCCCTGTATGAAAACAGGGAGGCGGTGAGAGAAGATGATAACACAGAGTGGCTACTCTCAGGCCTCACACCGTGTTTTATCCCTTCCCATGTATGAACATCCCTATTGGAAACTGGAGTGAGTAAGAAGTTGGAGTGCAGTCAGAGCTACATGGGATAGTAACGCAACCTCTGCTAGCAGGACAGCTAGTGTAGGGTTATTGTTTACCTGGTCACAACTTTGGGGAGTGCTGAATTTCCCATTTTGGATGGGATTTGTAAGAGACAACTATAAGGAAATCCAGGAAATCCATTTTCCCTGGGCTCGCTCTTCTCTTTTTTTTTTTTGGCAATAAATGGAAACAGAAAAGCTCCTACAGAATGCAGATCAGCACAGGAGCTTAAGTACTGTGAATGTGCACTTGGAGAAGCCTATCTTGGTCGAAGGACCTTAAATAAAGTGTAAGAAACTGGTCCTCCTGAGGGCAGAGTTAGCCTGTAAATGCTTTTCCCTCCACGCTGTCATCACAAAAATCTGCAAGTGTATCTTAGCTATCATTTTGACAGAAATACCACTTTCCCAGTGTGGGATTATTCAATCATCTGTGCTAGGACCTGTGTTCCAAGAGGACTTTAGGCCCTTATATTTCTGAGAACCTAAACTGACAAAATTTGAAAAAGAAAGAAAAAGAGGAGAGAGAGTAATATTCTCCCCTGCATGCTTTTCAGATGAGGTTCTAAGGCCAAGAGGGGATGGCTCTTTTTCCTTTTTTTGTACCATTTG